CAGTGGGATCAAAAAACCCGGAAGTTCTGGCAAGAAAGGCCCACACAAGCACACGCAAAAATCGTTGCTGTCATTCTTTACCCCCAAGACCGATGCTGCAACTGTTCCTACGACTCCTGGAGCTGGGCCTCCACCGATGGCTTCCGATAGAGTGAATAGTAAGAAACCAGAGTGTTGGGACGTGCTATAGGGGAGTGTTGACTTCTTAAAGACTCTCTACCCCTTCAGTCGTTTCGTTCGGACGCTGTTGCGAGTCGCACGCTCAGTAATCTTCCAGTACGGGATGTTGATTCTCCCCAGCGGACCCCGAAAAGCAGCCATTCTCGCGCTCGGTCAAGTGATGACGAGGACCTCTACTCAAGGGCTCCAAAACGTACAAGGCGACAAGTTATCTCAGAGGATGGCGATGAGGAAGCCTTTGCCGATGCTGTTGTTGATTCTGCAGAAACTAGTGAGGATAGTGAGTCTGGTCAGAGTGGATATCAAGGTTATTACTTATGAAGCTCTAGACTCTGGAGTGCCCGATAACGAAGACGAAGAAATCAATAATCAACGAAAAAGACAGGCGGCACGGGAACTACCTCGCAAGACACCTACCAAGCCGAGTGCTAGCACACTTACATCGAAATTCGCATTCCCTTCCAGGAGCGCTGATATTACACCTACCAACACATCTCTGGGGAAACAACCGGCACCGGCGACTCCCTGCGCACCAAAGACGCCCGGCAAAGCCAACAAGCAGCCAGTAATGCCCCCATGGTTAATCAACGTTCACGACGCATCCAGAAATCCCGCTGGACACCCCGAATACGACCCTCGAACATTACACATCCCCATCGAGGCGTGGAACAAATTCACGCCGTTCGAAAAGCAGTACTGGGAGATCAAATCTCAGCATTACGACACGGTAGTTTTCTTCCGGAAGGGGAAGTTTTACGAACTCTTTGAGCACGATGCGTTTCTCGGAAACCGAGAGTTTGGACTGGGACTGACTACCAGGATAAGTATGACTATGGTTGGTATGCCTGTGGATTCGTTCGATTACTGGGCGGCACAGTTTATTGCGAAGGGGTATAAGGTTGCGAAAGTTGATCAGAGTGAGACGGCGATTGCGAGGGAGATGCGGGATCGTGAGAAGAGTGCGAAGGGTGGGAAGAAAGATGCTTTGATTAGGCGTGAATTGGTTTCTGTGTTGACGGGTGGAACTCTTGTCGATGAGGCAATGCTGCAGGGCGATATGTCGACGTATTGTGTCGCGATTAAGGTATGGCTTCGTAGCTGTTGGGTTTTCTCGTCTAGTCTGGGAATGGGGCAAGCTATTCGATGGACCGTGTTAACGATGCTCTTAGGAAGATACCACTGATGATGAAACACCTCTGTTTGGCATCACATTTGTCGATACAGCGACCGGTGCCTTTTCGCTGACGGAATTCGAAGACGATGTAGATCTGACCAAGTTTGAAACGCTCGTTGCACAGATCCGCCCTAAAGAGTTGATTCTTGAAAAGGTTTGTCTGCGTTTGTGCCTGCTGCTTTTCTTGGTCTTGAGGACTGTTCTCACCGTATCAGGGTTGCATATCGAAACGTGCGGTTCGCATTTTGAAGAATAGTACTACTCTTACGACAATCTGGAACAAGTTAATACCGGGAAAGGAGTTCTGGGATGCAGGGACGACTGTTCAGGAATTGGATTTACAAAAATACTTTGGATCTGACGCTTCTGACCGATCTGAAAATTGGCCGGAGGCGCTGCAAAGCTTCAAGTCAAAGGACCTCGTTATAACCTCATTTGGTGCATTGCTCTATTATTTGCAGACGGTACGTTTGCCGAGTCCCACCTTGTACAAGCTGCGCTTACCTGCTCCTGACAGCTCAAAATCGATCAAGAACTGGTAACACTGAAAAACTTCCAAGTTTATGACCCAATAAAAATGGCAACTTCGCTGGTTTTAGATGGGCAGACGTTATTAAACCTCGAGGTAAGAGAGTCTTCCCTTGTACTTCTCTCGATTTCGTGCCCGGTGGTGAGATTTTGCGAGCACGTGGCCGGCCAAACCGAGATCGAGAAAATGATTGTACTCCACGCAATTAGAAGGCTGGTTGATAACAAAAGCAGATTTTCGCAAACTCCCACGACGGCTCTGCAGCGGGAACCCTCTTCGCGGTTCTGAACCAGTGCATCACACCATTCGGCAAGCGGATGATGAAGCGGTGGGTTTGCCACCCGCTGTCTGACGCCGCACAGATCAACGCAAGACTTGACGCTATCGATGAACTGAACGCGAATGACGCATTCCGGGACATATTTTCCTCTCAACTTAGCAAGCTACCTGATTTAGAACGGCTGATATCTCGGGTGCACGCTGGTAGCAGCAAGCCGATTGACTTTTTGCGGGTATTGGAAGGGTTCGATAGTATTCAGGACGCGGTGGGAGAGATCGAGGCTCAACTCGATTGCTCTAGCGAAGGGTTGATTGGACAACTGGTGTCGGCAATGCCAGATTTAGATTCACTGCTAAAACCATGGAATACGGCATTTGATCGGGAGAAGGTTAAGGAGAGCGGGATTCTCGTCCCAGAAGCAGGGGTAGAACCGGATTTCGATGAAGCTCAGGAAATTGTCGACGAGATATTGGAGAAGATGAATGGACTGCTCAAAGCTTACATGAAAGACCTTAGGTAAGTGACCAGTCGGCTAGTTAGCTGATCGGCGTCCTTGAGCGGCCATGCCGCCCGCTATCATCGTAGTGGCCGCCCTTAACACTGCTCTAAAAACGCCACGCGGCTGATCTGGCCGAAGACATGGCTGATTGGCACCAGATGTCGCGACCTGAAGTTCGTAGACGTTGGACTGGAGACGTACACGGTAGAAGTACCCATCAACATCGCCAAACACGTCCCCAAGACCTGGCAACAAGTCTCCGGCACCTCCAAAGTGAAACGATTCTATCCTCCCGAACTACGCAAGCTCGTCCGGTCACTCGAAGAAGCACAAGAATCACGCGACCAGATCGGTAAGGAAGTTACTAACCGTTTCTACCAGCGTTTCGACGAGGATTACCAAAGCTGGCTTCTTACCGTGCACACAATCGCTAACTTGGATTGTCTGATCGGCCTGGCGAAGGCGTCATTGTCACTTGGTGTGGTCAGTTGTCGACCTACTTTTGTTGATGACGAGAGAACTGTTTTGCGCTTTGAAGAGCTTCGTCATCCGTGCATTGTTTCAGCAAGTTTTGAAGATTTCATTCCAAATGATATTGAGCTTGGAGGCGAATGTCCTAACATCACCCTTTTGACTGGAGCCAATGCTGCTGGAAAGTCGACTATTTTGCGAATGGTATGCCTTCTGTTCCGGAGAGGTAATAAGTGCCGAATACGTTACGTCGAATATTCAAATAATTCAGTCAAATCTTCACCATGACAGAATTACAAACCCTTATGTAAACGTATTCAGCGCTTGTTACCACTGGGCGAGATACAGAATCAAAATCCTCTACTAACGTCTCTAGACCTGCATCGGCGTAATCATGGCTCAAATCGGCTGCTACATTCCCTGCAAATCCGCTTACCTCACCCCCATCGACCGAATCCTAAGCCGTCTTGGGGCCAACGACAACATCTTCCAATCGCAGAGCACATTCTTTGTAGAGCTCTCCGAGACGCAAAAGATCCTCAACAACGCCACGCCACGGTCACTGGTGATTATCGACGAACTTGGACGCGGGACGTCAACATATGATGGTATTTCCGTCGCGCAATCTGTGCTGCATCATATCGCCACCCATACTCGGTGTGTTGGGTATTTTGCGACTCATTATCATTACCTGGCAGCGGAGTTTGCCACTCATCCTGAGATTCGTAGGTGTCGGATGAAGATCGATGTTGGGGATGATGATGGGGAGAGGGATATTACATTTTTGTATCAGTTGGAGGAAGGTGTTGCGGATGGGTCGTTTGGGATGGTAATTGTGTTATCCGATGCGAGGGGTAAATCTTTAATCACTAACTTTTTGTGACCAGCATTGTGCGGCTAAATGTGGGATTAATCGGCGGATTATTGATAGAGCGGAGGAGGTTGCGAAGAAGTATCAGCACGCTTCAAAGGTGAATGTTAAGGATACGCCGGATACTGCTCGGATGGATTCACTCATTCCGTTGGGTCTTCAGAGTGATATTTTGTACCTTCTTAACTGCCGCGATGAAGTACAGAAGGATGTTGTGGATGTTATTGTTAAGAGTGTAGCGCTTTTGTAAATGCGTTTGCGTGATTGCCATTTAAGCATTATTAGAGGATTATTAAGATCGTTTTGAGGTTATATATAGGCTTGCATCGAATTGATATAAGCATTTTCACCACTGGTGCAGTCATCAGGTATATACTAAAGCAATCATGGTACGTACCGGTCGAACAGAGGCGGAAAGATCCACTGTTATACAGATAGATTTGTACGAGAATGTACGAGGATGTACTAGAGTGTATACGGTGTCGATACGACAGCGCGGTTCGGACGTAGAAATTTAGAGATACGACGGATTTAGTATCATTTCTTAGTTATTTCCTCTTCTTTTCTTCCGTCCTAGCCAGCCAGATGTTTTGTTGCAATCGTTTAGACACTGTACGTATGTGCGTGTGGTATGCATAGGGCCGAGTAAGTATCAATAAGATACTAGCTACCTCCGTCTTGATCAATTAATCTCCCTCCATTCCTGGATGCCGACTAGCTGATGCCCTAGCTAGGGTACATGCTTCGGTGCGACATCATAACAAAGACACGAATGAAGGTGTGCTGTTCGTATTAATGCGACGGCATCGTTTCATAGTCGTGCCTTCGTCCTAGCTTGCAATGCAGTTACACTGTCACGACGAGGTGGATTTGTAGTTTCAAGCGTAGTGACACATTGTCATGAGACCTTTATGAGGCCATCATGGCGTCATAACGTCATGTAATTAAACTAAATACTAAACGTCGATGTTGGAATGCGTCAATCCACACTCATATGGGCCAGTAGCTCAGCTGGTAAAGCATCCGTCTAGTACAGGAAAGGTCCTAGGTTTGACTCCTAGCCAGTCCATTCTTTTCATATAGTTTCAACAGTCGACACGTCATGAGGTATAAGTGATATTTCATGCATGAGTCTAGCAAACATCACGAGATTTTGATCGTGGTGTTGAATAGTGGAGATGCATGATACTTGAAAACACATTCGCGCTCGGAAATAAAAGGACCGAACCGGCACCTCCTTAGCAATGTAAAGCGAACTCACCGCTCCCATTCAGCTCCTCTGACCTCGACCCATCCGCTCCATTCAATTATCTAATGCACCATTCATGATCGTTCTCCAACCACTGACCGAAAACGAGAGTGTTTTTGTTATGAACTCTCGATTCATCTCCAACCTTCCCTTCTTTCTGCAATTGCAAGTGCAATGCCCACTCTGTTTTTGCATCTCCTAAGTCTTTTTCCTCCAGCCGTTCTATCCGAATCCTACAGATAGTTATATCGTAAATTTGAATAGCAGATACCGTCTTCTTCGGGCAGCTCATCATCATTGCCACCTTCCTCCTCCTCATTGTCGTCATCGTCATTATCATCATCTTCTTCAGAGTCTTCTCAGTTGCCCTCTTCTTCATCATCATCGTCTTCGTCTTCCCATTCGCCGTCGTCGTCGGCGCCGTCACTGACGTACTCATTGCTGCTGTCTTCTCCATCGCCCTCATCGTGCTCGCCATCATCACTATCGCTGTGGTCCTCGTTGGGGTCAAACACCTCATCTCCATCTAAAATGCCGAGAATAGCTACTGTCACCGTCTTACGCCGAGGAGATACACAGGAGATAACTCCATACCGGGAGTTGGCATCCCACAGTGGATATCCGCCATGTTCGTCGGGTTCAAGTAAAATCCTGTACTTACTAAAGTACGTACCATACGAAACCTCAAAACCTACTACATCTACTTACTAAATGAGTATTTGGCAGCATGCTAGCGCTAGCAGTTGAATGTAGAGTACATATTAGATACCTAACTGCCGGTACCTAACCAGCTTTATGAATTCTACGAAGAAAATACCCGACCGAAATGACTTATGATTCAAGAGCTGAAGTTCATCCCGCAAACCTCGCCAGCTAAGAACGGGTGCGTGGTAACCGTGATTGGTTTGGACTGAAATTCGAAACCGTGTGCCGCTTCAAGGCGTAAAAGCATTAGATCTTGATGATTTTAAAAAGGTTGTACTTAACTCCGCGATTGTCGAACCTCTCTTCGCTCGCTCAACACCTCCGATTCCTACTCTAATCCCCCACCTTGTCGAAGACTGGGTTTGCAGAGTGGTGCGTCCGACACAACTTACTTTCTGGTTTTTGGATACCTATTCGCTGATATTGTCGGCGCGAAAGGGTGAATTCTCGGAGCCAAAGACAACCCTTTCAGGAGGTCTCCGGCTTTTGTAGGTGCCTACCGTTTTTATTCTATATATTTCAAGGTCCGATAAAACTTTGCAGGATATGCGAGGGTTCTGAAGATCCTTATTACAGCAAATTCGGTCCCAGGATCCCATTTAGTCGAAAGACGTTTGAAATTGTTATGGGGGAGTTGCATCTTCCTAAGGAGTGGTTAAAACTTGCGTATGATAATTGGAGTGGAGTATTTGCAAAGTTCGACGCTCCTGATGACGGACCATCCGGAAGAGGTAACCATACATTTCGGCTGGACATCCGAGTCTATAACAAATATGTGTAGGCATGGTGATTGAAACCCCAAATTTAGGGTTGGATTCGCCCGTCGAAATAGTGACTTTATTGTTATTCCACGACGATCAGACCAATATAGCCACAGGCATCCTCCATTATTTTGATCGGAACCGATACTGTGTTGATGTTTTCTTAAATTCAGTGAAGCAGAATCTTCCGCTCGCATCTGCGGTTCTTCATTTATCCGTTTTCTACACATTTATGTATCAACATGATTTAGCGGTGTGTGAGAAGCTTTTGAGAGGAGAGGTAAAACATCTGACAGGACAAATGGGATGGGGGACAGGAGGTGAAAACATCCAGATTATACCGGAAGATCCTTTCCAAGCAATCACGGAGATTAGTGAGGCTGTTCATACCTTATCGTCCATAATTATCATGGCCAACTTCGGAATGAGACTCTGCGACTTTTTGTTGGAAGACACAGACCAGAAACAACGCCTCGAACGCCGGAATCTGCGACTATTGAAGCCACTATTCATTGGAAGTGAGGAGTCTCTTTTGGCTTTGGAGAGGAGAATCAGCGCCAGGAACAGCATGGTAACCACCAATCCGAGCGATTCCCTCACTTTTAACTAATTTTTCCTTGCTCGGTACAGTTATATAATGCACTGTCTCAAAATGAAGGCCGACTTAACTACCAAATAGCCAAAGCGGCAAGAATGGACAGCTATGACATGCGGGCGATTGCACTCTTGACTACATGCTTCCTACCTGGAACCTTTGTTGCGGTATGTACAATGTCCTTGATTCCGTTGTATATGCACGTTTCTCCGGACGTTTTGTCTGCCTTCCGACGAGTTATTTGGCATCGGAATGGAGCGAACGCTTGCTGATCTTCAATAGACTTTCTTTAGTGCAGGAGTATTCAGTTTCGGGGGCCAAAACGCCAGCCAGTCCACAGCGAGTAATTCCATGATTTCCAAAACACCAATGACAGTGTATTGGGCCATCACCATCCCACTTACCATCGTGGTCGTTTCTACGTGGGTACTCTGGTCTCGCATGCACAGACGCCGTGACCACGCAGCGGATGTCGAAGCAGGGGAAGAGTCGGCGGTCAAGATTGAGAGAGCCAAAACAATGTAGCAAGAAACGTGGCGGATTAGATTTCAGAGGACTCGTGCTTGTGGGATGTGGTATCATGTTGGTCAGAGTGAAATTGAGATACGTTTTGAGCTTACTTTTGTTTGTGAACTGTTGCATCTTGTACGACGAATCGCCCTATCTGCGGAATTTCCGTATATGGGGTGCAGAGTCCCCGCGGATGGGGTGTTAGCCATACAGAATGTAACCTCTCGGGCCCCAAGTAAACAATATTCTATGATCTGAAGATCACAGAACTCATGGATGTACCGTAGAAACCCCCTCAAGTACAGATTCTTGAATAGACTCCATAAGTCCAGGTATCACCAATGCTTTCGCGAAATTTTGATTACACCAGGTAGCCCGAATGTGCCAGTAAATATGGGCTTCTCCATCGGACAAATCACTATATTACCAACTGATGAATGACATCATTTGAAATTGCATAAAATAGAGCCCACGCAGCAGTAATAAGGTGTGAGTATGTAAACCCCATACGCGGACTTCCGCACACGGCCTATGGGGTGCAACAGAACGATATGAATTCATTTTTATCATGCTAGGAATATTCATTCAAGGGATTTTCAAACATTCGATAGCTATACTTAGCCCAATTCAAACATGTATTACTCTATCAGTTCTGGCAGTGTAGGGCTTAAGACGGTCACATACCGCATCTAGCACGTATGTACATGTTCATTCGTTCTGACCACATTCTCACCGTGGTGAGTATTCGACTTTGGGGCGTAACTTAGCGGCAAAGCGTAGACAATTTGATGGGATTAGGTGTCGAAACCAAAACGTAGGTCCTCCAGAATACAATAGTAATGGTTTCTTCTAACATACCCCTATAGACTTCCCTTTTAATCTGTGACTTGCGGTCCACTACGAGAGTGTCGCAGTACTCTACATTACCGAACGTTGGGTTAGAGCTTCGAAAGATTCAATAGAAACGCCTAGATTAGTGAGGAAGAATCGATCAAATCTCCCTTGCTGTGCGCATTCCAATATCTGGAATCCTTGAAATTAAGCACGACATAATCAATCACTCGAGATCGTATGGTCGAATGTCGACGAAGATGCCCGAATCTTTCTCCTGGATCACAGTGATGCCGAATACTGGCAGAAGCGTCTAGATACCGCTTCTGTTTTTCCAGCGGACTTTAACCCCGTTTCGCTGGAAATAGTTTGCTTTCACGATAAAAGATGCAATGTATAAACGAAAGCCTGAGTTGGGGGAAAGGATTATATTGCTTTCCAAACCAACTACTACCGAACTCAGACTTAGCTAATATCGCGGCTATTTGAATTCATATCCTAAATGATCAACTCCTCTTCCGCTTTCTAGATTCAAAGTCCGATAGATGAGGACACTCAATGCGTGAGATCAATTTCTTGACTGCAGCCAAGATTGCCGGAAACGTAGTGCCAGCATGTTCTCGTTCACAGACTTTTTTCCGCCCGACAAGCTGAAAAACTGGGCTTGCGAAGTCAGCTGACGGCTGGTTAACGAGCGCAGTGCTAGCATCACGGTAACTTTGACACCGTCTCAGGATTTTTGATATACTCTTCGGCTCGGCCTTCAATTGATGGCGCAACAAACCTCCACGCACCAAAGCCCCAACATATTTACCAAGATGAGTGACGTCACATTGCTTCTTGCACTGACAGGTCGGCCCATTTTCATGTTCGTCAATGAAAGATTCCAACTTTCGAATAACTTTGTCTTGCGCGGCTTCCAGCGTTGCTGCAATAGCGTCTGCGATTGTTAGCAAAAACTATGTGTGTATCGTGAAATCATTACTTGCCTGAGACATTCTGCGGTATGTTTTCCACCGTTTTGAGGTTGGTTCCGCCTGGTGTATACAAGCCGCCTGCCTCAATTTTGCATTCTAGAACAAGCTTCCTAGAAGCTTTTGAGAATTCCATGGCACACTTGAAAGCACAAGACGCAAATAGCCTATTGGCTTCTTCTAGTGGCATAACGTTTATCCAGTGGGGACTCCAAGGAAGCAAGGCCACAGAAAGGTCATACTTTTCACAAATAGTCACAATTTGGATTACATGTTTTTCCGGAGGGTCCATGGGGACGTCCTCGCCCCGCAGGTGGATGGCGTTCAGGATTGTTTCCATTGCATCAGGGCTATCATCCTCCAGCTTTAGTTCGAAGCGGCCTTCTGGGCCTTTTCGTTGTTTGTGCTTCTGAAGTTCTAGCCCTTCCTTAAAGTGACTGGTGC